TGTCATAATCACCTTCCAGTGCAGTGAAACTGTGTTGACTTGACTTCTGCTTGTTCAACTGCATTCAGAAACTTTTAAGTACCCAAGGATAGCACTGTCATATTTACTCATCATGTGTTTTTTCTTCACGCCAAGTGCACCAGAAATGATATCAGCCTGTGAAAGTTCACTGTAATCAGAGCACTGAGGATGCTTTTAGGGAGCAAGATGATCTACAATAGGGTATAAACAGAGAGGACACAAAATATTCTAAAAGCTCCATGTAATCAAAGAGAAAGCCATGTCCTCAACTGCCCTGCGCAGTGTGTTGTTGTATACAGAAGGACATTCAAAATGTGCATGATTCACACTACAGTTAAAGCCGACTCAGTGAAATAAAACAGACAAATACTACTCATGTCGCACTACCGCCACTGCAAAATGTTATTCTGGGTTGGATGAGACTAAGAGAAATGAAGCACATAAGACACCTTCATTAGCCTCAACAATACAATTTAAACTTTAATCACATTTCCTCTTGAATAAAGCAGAATTGCAAATATGACATTCAAAGCCAACTGTATGCTCATATTCTGAAGTAGTAAACATAAATGTTGTGCCAAATATGGCTTTCAGAACTGTCAAACGATGCTCCCTGTGATGAAATATTTTGAAACACTGAAATAGTAACTCAAGCTTTAGAAATACTTGGAAACAATCAGAACGCTTATCTAAATAAGGTCAATATAATCTTTAGAACACATTGTTGTGCTGCTCTATCTCGCTGTTGTAAGGACATACACAGGACAGTTTGTAAGCCTTATCCCTATCATTGTGTTGTTTGTTATCTTTTTGTGTGTCACTGTTATCACGGTCAGTCACATGGCCTTGATGACCTTGTGGAATAAACTCATTAACTTAGCCATCAGTCATATGCCACCCCGTCGTTGTCCTGCACCAGCCTGTGAACTTAGCTTCCTCAGGTCCTCACTGCTTGTCGCACTCTGAAACTTGAGGCCATCTATGACCAAGGTGTCGCCATCTTCCACTATGCTGGTCTGGCACTCCTGCGGAGTCTGTCACAACAACATGCACACTAAATGACGCTCTGCACACTGTGCCTGGGCATATGAAGTAATAACAAGGTCATTTGTGCATCCATCATTGTTAACCACTGCCTTGTACAGTGTGAGCAATGGAAAAGGTGACGATTAAATGCGTCTGCTGCAGCATGTGTGCCTCATGCATGCATATGTATGTGTGTTTGTTTGATTGCATGCAATGAGAGGAAAATAATATGGAGATAGTCCTAACTTCCAAAGCTTTGTGTTTGCTAGCCTGGTTCCAGACTGAGCAGCTCAAATGTTGTTGAGAGCATGAAAGGCCCGTTGCGGATTACCGTTTTCTGGTTGGAGAAATGACTGGGCCAACAGTTACCTTTGCAGGTTGGAAACAGCATCTAACTGAGCCACAGCCACAATCCAAAGTAAATGTCAACAAGTGTGAATGAAACTGACTCAGCTATCAAGGGTGTTATAAATCTACTGATTGACATAACGGCTCCTAAATCAGTGCAGCCTGCATTGAAGGTGTTTCTCCAAAGCAAATAAGATTTTTCTCATTCTGTCCTAAGGTTTAGAGAAAAGTTTTATTTATTTGATGGCCCCTGTGGCACTTGAGGAAATAGGTCATAAGGATTTAATGCTTAAAGCTGTTGTCCCTTGATCACTTTGATGGAAGACCATGTAAAAGAAGCTGAGAGACTTAGTCTGCAGTGCACAGTGACAAATAAATGGCAACCCAGTTAAGCAGCTTCTGTGTCAACTATAATTTATGTTAATGGCAATTCACACTACATATACATAGCATTTTGCAGCTGAGAGGGGAAATTAATTGTGTTGCTATGCAACTGTAGGGAACTCGTGTAACCTAACCACTTCTGACCTCATTATAGAGCGAATATAATAGCCCTATCTGCTTTATTGTGGGTTATAAGACAAGATGACATTAGCTAAACAAGCACACTTCTCTGACTGACCCATAATGCAAAAACTAAACTGTCAGGAAGGGAAAGGAGGAAGAAAGACAACAAACCTAACAGAACTATGTGTTCACCTGAGGGTTAAGATTTGAAAAAAAAATAAAAATACTTGGTGAAGGTTAAAGGTTCACTGTGTTCTGCTTCATAGTCATTTGGTCCTGTGAGGTTTGTCTGACTATTCACTTTCTGCCAGTAAGCATACCTCTCTGCGCTGTCTCTGGTTTGAGGGGCTTATTGATGTACACCACTCGAGCATCTCCTCTATTTCTCTCATCAGCAGCTGAGCCTCTGACAACACTGCCATGATAAAAGACACAAAAACCTAGAAGTAGTCCCGAGCTCAACCATCTGCAGTGCAATTGGCGTTTTTCAACAATTCCACTTCTGAAGTGTTGCACCACTTGAGCAGGCATGTAAACCACTCAGTTGCAGGGCACAGAAGGACACCAATAACTCAGACTTGTTTAAAGCAACAGCAAATATAAATGCAAAAGTATAAACACAACAGTTTAACCTGTAATGAAATGCCAGTTGCATTACATGTGGTTTAATGCTGAAAAGCGGCAGCTTAACGTTTTTAGCAAGACGCCATACTTGGATTAAATAAACCCCACATATACAGATAACACCAATACACAGTACACATTTGATCATCAAGCAAAAATGGCAAAAGATGCGTATTGAGGGAAGAACAACAGGTTTGCAAAATGGGAATAACATTGACAACTCTAAAATTATTGGGTGGACTTTTTATCCAAGCCTACAAGTATATCCTAATGTCCCTACCACAGTTAATTGAACTCCTGAGGAAAAATGTGTCGTTGTTATTCACACAATGGTTAAAAAGTCACAAAATATCATTAAACCACATTAGCCTCGTGTAGACATAACATACTAGCTTGGGACTGTGCAGAATAAGGTAAACAAGAGACAATATATGCCTATAAATATTTAAAGTTGCTTGAAAAGAACGATAAAAGCTGGATCAGTCACGAGGCAGTGAGTGAATCACATTATCTATATGTGATATGCAACAGTTGGACTTACTTTGATCAATCTTTAGGAGGGAGATCTTGGGTTTCTCTTCACATGCCATGTCACTGGTCTTTGCAGCGTCCTCCACAGAAAAACAAAAGGTTACATTTTGTACTTGTGACTATTATGTCATTCAAAGTGATGTATACAGCACATTTAGGATGATTTAGAAGGAGTTTAATAGCAGTGAATATGAAAAGTGACAAATTCCCAAAAAACACATGGTGGAGTGCAGTGGAAACCATTAAAACAAGTTATCAGAGCACATAAACTTGTTGTTGTTGGTATCCAGACCTCATTGTCTTTATTCCTAATTGTGTACATAGATTTACTAAATTACCTGCTGCAAAGTCATTAAGCAAAAGAAATATTAATATTTTATTTGATCCTGCGAGTTGAGAATTCCATAATGTTTCGAATCATTAGTCAGTTCTATTGGATTGCCTGAATATATTTGAGGGTTAAGACGCCATTAAGAATACACTGCCAAACATTCTGTAGTGATTTCCAGTTACAAAGATTTTAATAATAGATTTAAAATTTAAAGAAAGCATTAAAGATATACAGGTTTTTAATTTTCAAACTCATTCCTACTCTGTCGTTATTATTTCTCAGTTATCAACAAAGGCACTGAAGTGTGATACGCAACAGAAGGAGTGAGGACAGAAAAGTAAAGAGTATAACTTTACAAATAATTGCAAACTACAATATTTGATAATTGATTAATTGGGTTGAATATCTTTCTAACAAAGTCAAAATTCTCTGATTTCAGCTTTGTATTATTGTATGTTTTCTGGTTTCTTTCTTCCTCTATGACATCAAACTAAGTATCTTTACGGATGTCATCTTAGGATTTGGTAAATAACCTTTTTTTTTAAGACCAAAGCAAATTGACTAATTGAAAAAATAATGAACAGGTTGATTACAATCAAATTTTGGTTAGCAGTGTGCCTAGTCAATACACATTTTAGTCAAATATACATAGATTAGAAACCTCGATTCATCACAAAAATCAACACAATAAAATTAATACAATACTACCAAAAAAACAGTCGAGCTTCTTTGCTTCCGCGATTAACGCTAATTAGCAGCTAGCTAACTACGCCAATGTATTTCCAAGCTCTTTCAACTTATAATACAAAATGACACTGTGAGTTTTTGTTATATTTAAAATTATTTTGAATTAGTTTTCTGTCAATGAGAAAGAGGCTCACCTAGTTGTTTTTGGCAGCGTCACGAAAAGGTAACTTTTGAAAGATAAGCTAACTTTGGTTATGCTAGCTGTAACGCTTTGGCCGCTCCCATTAATTAGCAAGAGGCAGCTTTTCCGAAATTCAACAGCATTAAAATGCAAAGTTTCATGGCAGTCATTCTTTCTGTTTCCGGTGTTACCTTGTATTTAACTGGGGTTTACCCGTCCTCGTCCCTTTTAAAGATGTAACAGCAAAGCCTTAAGTGTATTTGGTCTCCCCTAATAAATGGTTCGGTCCTGGTTAAGTCAAGCTGCACCTACTTTAAAATACTATATCGGTGACGACGCCAAAACTCTGGCACTATCATCAGGAAAATGTCAAACAATTGTTAATTCTGTGACCCAAATCCGATAGCCTTCATCATAACTGATTCTTTTTTTTTTTTTTTTAAGTCAGGCAGTGTTTACCTTTGCTGCCTCAACGTGGACAAGCAGATCACATTCCGATGAACAGACAGATAACTGGTTAGGCAGGGTATGCGTAAGGGGGTTACGTAAGGAAGTCGTATCGACAGGGGGGGAAAAAAAGACTTCGCCTCGTCTGGAAACATCCCTCGAACAGCAAATCTACAAATCTAACGTCAATCGCAGAAACTAGTTACTGGGAGAAGTGTTGCGCGTTTCTAGGTACATTGTGCTTTTATTTTGAAAGGACTTGAGCAGTCAAGTGACTCCCGGAAGTTTTTATTTTCTCACCTGTCAGTTCAGACTCGGAGCGAGTGTCCAGCCTCGTCTCTCTGTTTTTCTCCAAGATACAGGTCTTCTTTTGTCAAGAATAAATGATAATCCTGTGTTTGCATTTGACACTTAATTGAGGACAGCGTCTAACACGGTTAGTGAAAGTGAAGAGTGAAAAATAATCGACTTCTTTTGCTTCACCTAGCCAGTAGACGTTAGCTAAGCTTAGCTAGCTTTTATCATAACAGATCGATCATTTTGATCACCGTAGCTATTGATATTTTGTTTATTTTCCTCTGTGTCATTGTCTAATGGCTGTGTTGCACGTTCTGTAATCTATTGTAGAATTGTATTAATGTAGTTTGCCGGTTGTCAGCAGTGTTCACGGAAGCTAACACCATAACGTTAGCATCGTATGCAGGCGAGATTCATTGATTGTTTACATCTGCTTTTCGTCGCTTTTTTTCTACGAAATGAGATCTTTTCTCTGCCGCGATTACCCTGTTAGTCGTTTGCTTTCCTGTTTTATTGGAGGAAGTCAAACGAAATGACGTCTCCTCTCGTCTTGTTTGGATTTCACGTTGACTTTCGTTTTAAGTACTTGTTGGGGTCGCTTTCGATTTCACACCTGGAGGGCTTTATTGGAGTCAGCGGCTGTATCTGTGTCTTTTTTCTTTGTTTGTGTCCACGATGTGGATCTCACATCCTGTTCAGTTAGTCTGCTCAAACTTATTTCTCCAAAAGCTTTGGCCTTCAGTGTTAAAAACTTGGCTCCTCTGTGTTTGCTGCATCATTGCATGCTGACATCATCAACTAGCGGAGCTGCACTGTCTGTGCTGCCGAGCTACTCTAAACAGCAAAAATCCAGGATGTGTAGGGTTTAGTCCATGTCTGTGTCAGGGAGCTTCCTTAGACTGCTGCAATTTTCCCTGAGGGTCAGTTGTACTGCCACATCCCTATAACAAGAGGGCAAAATTCTGGTCAATGTGACACTTTCCTCTGTATCTGTGCACAATCAAAGTTTATCTTTTCTTGAAGCAAAAAAATCTTGCAAACATTTTTTTTTTAAAAGTACAGTACTTTAATGTACATTATTGGAGATCAAGGAACCATGGATTTAAGACAAGAAGCCAGTACCTGAGCTGGGATAAATGTTACGAATATCACAAAGTCTGCAGTTTTCTGGTCACGACAGTTGTGTTTTAATTGCTTATAGATCTGCCTTTTTAAAACACCATTACCAAAGCTTTAATGCTTTTTAATTTAAATACGTACACACGTTTGTATGTCAAACAGTTTGAAACGTGTTTAATTTTTGTGGAATAGACTGTTTACATGCATGTTCATACATCTACAGTCATCTTCATAAACATAATTTCTGCATCAGTAAAAGAGGTTGGATTTTCACACTACAACTTCAACAGCCAAGTTTCTTCTCCCCAGAGATTTTTAACATGAAACTCTGGTGACGATTTCCTCTTTTTGACAATCCTTTAGTACACATAAGCAGAGAAGAGAGTGCCACCTACAGATGTTAACTGTGTCATGAACAGAAAGTTACAGCACTGAGACAGCATGGGATTGCGGAAATAATAACTTAATTATTTCATAAAATTGTAATAAACGTATTATTGTTATGAGTAGTAGAGGTATCATATGTGTGTCCTTTACAAAATCAAAACTAAAAGAGATTTAATGCTGTGAAATTAAACTCTTCCTGTTATCCCAAGGTCTTTTATCTGCTACCGAGTAGGCCTGTGCAGGCATGGAGCCCCTGGCAGTGGATGATGACATTTGCATCCTTAAACATGAGACAGCCTACACTGCTGCTGGTGAGAGTCCTGTGTCGGTGTGCGCCGGTGACGAATCTGTTGCTTCCCACTTCGCCCTGGTCACGGCCTATGAGGACATCAAGAAGCGGCTGAGAGACACGGAGCGAGAGAATACCTTGCTGAGGAAGAGAGTTAAGCAGCTAGAGGACAAGGTATAGCTGTTTAAAAAAAAAAAAAAAAAGTGGGGGATTGGGATGCTAAAAGATAGAGAAAACAAGAGCACAACAGAGACAGAGATAATACCTTGAGGGAAATGAAAGAACATACTGCTTCTCCTGCTTGCTGAACAGCCAGGGAGCTAGTTTTAGAAAGGGTGAGTTATGGACAAAGATGAATGAAAGCAGACTTTTTCCATTGTGCAGGACATGAAAATTATGGACAAACACAAAATGCTTAGAGAAAGTTTAGGGGAGAAAAACAGCAAATTCAACACCACACTGCAAAATACTTGCCTGTGGGAGAACCAGCATGCCAGCATCATTAATAATGTTGGCCAATAGTCAAAGCAATAAAACAATGAGAAATAAATCTGTGCTGTATAAAACAGAGAGGAGGTCTGGAAAAGTATGGCAAATTCCAAACATTATGTTGGCCCACTATGCAGCTGAGAAGGCTCCTGGAATTGGATTTTAAAAAAACAAAGGTTCCAGTAAAACACAAAAAGAGCAATTTAAACAGGAAGTGTCTTAATACAGATTGTAGGCTAAAGTGGAAATGCTGCACAACACGTGGGTAGAGCACTAGCTTGTCTACACGTGTTTAATCTGTTTTTGTTTTATCTGTGGCAGCATTTGGCCCATCAAGATAGGATGTGGTGGGAGGAAAGTAACTTCCTACCACAGACATTTAAATTAAGCAAAATTGATCTTCTCTTCTCTTCTCTTCTCTTCAACCACTGTAGCTCTTCAGGCCAGATGCTCCTCCATCGGAGGGTCCCCAGTACGTAAACAAGGCCTTCAGTGCTTATCGAGGGATCTATATAGAGAAGGAGGATCTGCAGATGGAGCTTAACAAACTGGTGCGTATTCTGATCAATTAGAACTTCTCACAAACTGATGCCACGGTCAGTAACAACATTGCTGATTGTTATGTTTAAGGAGATTTTTTTCCCCCTTTCTTATAACTAATTTTTCTACTGTATTTTGATTTAAGTAACAACAAAGTTCTCACAATATTGTTACACAATGCTGCATGTGTGCACTGTTCTCATCTGGGACTGAAGGAGACTCTGGTGCACTGGTATGAATACTGACTCTTTCATCTACTTCCTGCCTCTCTGCCTCACTGTCCTGTTTTTCTCTGTCAGAAAAAGGAGAAGAGTGAGAGTGAGAGGTTGCTGACGGAGCAGCTCCAGGCCAAAGAGTTGGAGCTGCTTCAGCTGAGGACAGAGATGGAGACAAGCCAAGGTACAGGTAGAGCACACAGGCCTGCTTTCTGCTCTGTGCCAAACAGTTCCCTTAACACTGTATCAACAAAGAAAATTTGTTTATGCTATTCCAAAACACATAGTACATCCAGTATTTTATACATTTACTTCACGTGTGAGTGTGCTTTTAGGACAAAAATACATTTGTATGAGATACAACAAAAGCAAGAAAATATCTTGTTAAAATGAGATGATATAATACATTTATATACTGAAATAGTTTGATCATCTGGGCTGCGAGGCAAAGCCAGTAAATTTGAAGTCCATATGTACATTTTCTGCTGGTTATCTGAAGTTAAGTCATGAAGACAGCAGGCTGGACAAGGTTGTCCAGATGTCCCTCTGCCTAGCAAAGTTTTCCAGCTCTTACTGGAGGATCCTGGGGCATTCCAAACCAGATAAGATGTCTGATCTCTCCAGAGAGTTCTGCATCTACCCTGAGGTCTCCCATCGGTCGGACTTGTCCAGGAGGCAACTTGATAAATGCCCTCAGCTGTCTCTTTTTAGCACTAAGGGGCAGCAGCTCTAATCTGAGCTCCCTGTGGATGTCTAAACTCCTTAATCTTTCTTTGAGGGTGACCAGCCATTGGACTTTTTAGTTACCACCCAAATCTCATAACCGGTGTTGAGGGTTAATGTTAAATTGGAGATGTTTCCTTCTGGTTCAGCTCCCTCTTCACCACAACAGTCCAGTCCAACACCTACACAAGTGTTAATTCCGCACCAGTCCATCTGTCAGTCTCACACTTTATTTTACCTTCATTTGGGAACAAGATTCTGAGATACTTAGACTCTTTCACTTGGGACAGCACCTCGCTCCCAAACCAGGGGGGAAGGAGGGGAATCCACCATGTACTGACAGAGAGTCCTGGCTTCTGACCTGAAGGTGCTGACTCTCCTCCCTCAGCTGCAAACCCCTGAAGGTCACAGTCTGATGAAGCCAGCAGAACCACATCGTTTGCAAAAAGAAAAGCAATTAGTTCCCCAAACTAGGCATTTACCTTCCCCCAGCTGCCTCTTGATATCCAAAATTTGAAGTATGACCAAAGTAATTAATTGCATTTACTCAAGTACCTTAGTATAGTACTTGAAGAAATGTAAAAATTTGTTGAAATTATTCCGATGTGACTGGTTTTGTAATGTCCAAGATGACATCTTTAAATGTCTTCTTTAATCTACAACCTAAAGACATTCAGTTTAAAGAAAAAAGATGATATTGAAATTTAGGAAGCTACAGTCAGATAATTTTGACTTTTTATGACTCAGACTGATGAATCTATTATCACAATAGTTGGCAGCAATTTAATAGTTGGCTACTAATGGATTAATTATTGTATCTCTCATGTTTACTCAAGTAAAATCTGAATACATGACTTTTTCTGGTTGTAAAGTATTTTGACACAGCTACAGTTCTACGTAACTTGCAGTGCATTTCTTCCATCACTGTGTAAAACACATATCAAAATGTGTAGCTCTATATAACTATGTTACTTCCTCTATAATTGCTTTATGGTGTCAATAAAGCAGGCATAACTGTTGAAGCAATAGCCGTAATATGCCTTGGGTACTGAGTGCAATGCACAAAATTTCTGTGAAACTTCTAATTTGTTTTATGTTTTTGTGTGTGCATGCCCAGTGATGAAGAGCCTGAACAGCTCTCAGGACTACTGGCAGGTGGACAGGGTCAGCCCCGAGCTAAAGATCCACAAACTGCAGGAGGAGCTAGAGAGGGTGACGCTGGAGAACAGCCGGCTGCTGGAGAGAAACGTGGTAAGTGAAGGTGGGAAGAAAGAGTTGGCGAGGAAAGTCGACTGGAAAAAGGGAGGACAGAGAAAAGGAAAGGTGAGATAAATAGGAGCCAGAGACAACAGTAGTGAAAAACAGATTCTTAAAGAGATGTGGAGTAACAAAGAAAAGAGGTGAGAGGTGTTGGGTCAGAGTGAGGCAGGGTGACGGTGTGGAGCAGAGTAGTGAAGAAAAGGGAGATTCAGGAAGACAGCAGGGTGGATATGCTGCAGTGGAAAAACTGTTGAAAGGAGAAGGAAAATGGGTAGAAGCTGATGCAAAGCAGAGGATGCTGAGATATGTCATCATAAACAACCATGGAAATACTTTAAAACAGCTTTGGGCCGCCCTTTCACTTTCTATTCTGCATACCTTAACTCTGTTTTAGGAGGAATGCCACGGCCTTAACGGACCAGACTTGGACCAGACCTGTGATGCAAATTATAACGCAAGGTATAGTTTTATGAATATCAATGAAGAGTAGCTGTCAATCCTTCAATTTAAACAGCACTGATGGAAACTGTCGGAGCTAAAATAAATAGCTTTAGGGGCATTCTCATGCAACACAACAGTGTTAAATTATTGTCTCTAAAGTGTGACTATTGAGTTGGGTAGCAACATCTTTTGCAGAAAACTGCTAAATACGCAAGGACAAACTGGCCAGATTGAATTAATTTAATCAGTTTATTTACTTACTCTTCATGCTTAAGTTTGTGGATGCGATGCTTTACATGACCACATAAATGCAGCACCTGGAATACCTTTATAGTCCATGTCTTTCACTGCCTTAACTTAATATTGGCTGTAGCACATGGCATGTGCTCACCATGGATTGTACTTATCCTCTTTGACCACTAGAGGAGGGTGCAGCTTTATACATTTGCACATTATCCACTGAGTAGCTATTATGTGCAGGTAACTTCAAAAGCAACGGAACTTTATGCAAGATTATCACCAGCTTGACACTTATTATTGTTTTCAGTGGAAATAGTTTAATATTTCAGTCTTTTGTTTTGCTGCACACAAGGTCTATACCATATGACTTGCCCTCCATGTACTTGGAAGCCTGAAAACTATTCTCACATTTAATGAAGAAAAGTATATTTGTGGTGCATTAAAATTGTTTTTTTAGCAGCACAAATAAAGCTTTAGTTTTGCCTTTTCACTTTCTTGCCGTTTGAGGCAGGTGTTAGAAGTTAAAACAAGCGTTAATGAGATTTTGCATGCGTACGTAAGGTGTGGATAGGACACTTCGTAAGTGTTGCAGTCCTCAAATACCACAGTTGTTTTTTATTTCTTATTTTTCACCATGCCCTCGTTTTCTAAAAACAGTTATTCCTACCAGGTAATTTAGCATTAAATCCATCTGTACAGTTCAACAGTGGCATCATTTTTAGGGTAGAGGAGTTTTTGTTTTTTTCTTTGCTTGTCTCCGAAATAACAATGTGAGCTTATGCTGCTAAGTGATGATGCTTAACATTAGCACCGTCAGTGTGGTGATAAATGTGTCAGCACAGAAGAAAATCATTACGTGTGTTACACAAAAGGAACTTTAGTAACACGCTCTCCAGGAATGCGTATGATTTGGTGGATTAAGCTTTTGTGAGTATAGATCCTTCTAATTTTGGCCATTTTAAGTGCCAGATTTTACATCGTGAAATTTTAACAGACAGGCGAAAGTTAACATTTTTCAAGAACAGGTAAATTGTTTAAAAGATATCTTGCGATTTAGTACATATAATAATCTAAAGGATATGTATGAGTGGCACTTTAGTGTATTTATGAGCTACAATGTGCCACATAGCTTGTGATTTTTACCATATAAGGCAGTGACCGGCAGTTTCTAACAACACAGGCTGTGTAGAAAAGCAGAGACACCTTTAACGTGCTGTTCATCTGTAGGGAGAGGAGCATGCAGCAGACATACAAGGCTCTGTGCTGTGAGGTCACTCGTCTCCATTCAGAGCTGAAGCACCAAACAGGCCTGATTAGGAAACTCCGGCCATGGATCGGTGAGACAAGACAAGGTGAGGTACACACACAAAGACTTGCTCTGGATTGCAACACTGTTGTAGTTTATTTGACTACAAATTATTCTGTGTGAAGAAAGGCCAGTGAACTATAGCACACGTTACAACTTTTTTTTTTCTTTTTTTTGTTGCTGGATACAAAAGGAAAACCTGCACAGTTCATGTTGTCCGTTACTAATCTACAGGAGAAGTCTGTCCGATAGAACATAATTGACTCCAGTTTAAGGATTCTTGGATTCACGCTGTTAGTCGTGTCTTGCATTTGTCACTACATGAGACAACAAGACTTTGAATGTTTAAATCAGCACCACAAAGGTGCAAAGCCAGATCTGAACTCTGAATACAATGCAAAATATATATATACTTATATATCTGATATTAACAATAATAATAATTTTGGATGCCAGTGTTACACCATACAAGAACTCTTCCAAATGGCTTTTTTTTTTTAACTTGTCTTTATTTTCTATGGAAATGCACTGCCCTGCAAAATCCCACTGTAGTTTTTCATATTGATGTATAAATATACACACACACACACGCATACATATATAAAAAGCTGTAGCATATCTACCCTGCCTCTCTCTCTATATATGTGTGTGTGTGTGTGTGTGTGTGTGAGAGAGATTGTAGAAAAACACTTAATCACATAGTTTTCTTTTTTTTTCCAATGTCATGCAGCCCTACACTCACTGTATTTTTTACAAAATGTTCCTATGTGATTAAATAAGCAAAGCAGAGTCTGCCCCCTGTAGGAGATTCTTAAAAAGGGAAAAACTTCTTGTCAAATACTATAATACTATTGAAGAGTCCTTGCGCACACATGCAGAGGAGAAATATCAAAATATTAAGTTAATTAAACTTGCCATTTACTCAAATGTAGTTACAGTTTTTCCATTGCCAATCTGAGAGGAATATACACCCAGAAATACACACATACACATATATAATGTCTCTCTCTCTCTCTCTCTCTATATATATATATATATAAATACACACACACACACACACACACACACACACATTATATGCAATGTGTATACAATTTGGATTATGGGTTTCTTTAACCTGACAGTCAAGTCATGTCAGATTTATGAGTAGTTAAAATATAACACCTAGTATTCAAATCTTGTTTTTTCTACACAAACTAATGAAATGACAGGAGGGGGTTATTACCACCACTGCTCAGGTAAAGGGCTGCTTTTCTAAAGAAGCACTGCTCACTCAGAAGATTTCTCCTGCTGCTCCTCATTGCAGTTTGTGTAAGAGTGTGATAAGACTGTGGATATTATCAAAGTACTCAAACACTTTGGTAAAGGACATCATGAAACGGTCTGTCCTTCCATTTCCCTCCCTCTGGGCTGATGTATGCTACCCGAGGAGAGATTACCTCTGTTGTCGATTCCCTCTGAGTGTCAGAAGAGGAGACCAGGAGGTGAAAATTAGAATGAAATATGGCAAGAAAATAAATCTTGGCCTATTTATTCCACTGAATAAGAGGGTAATCCTGTAACTTAGATGAGGCAGATGGAGTGAAATCAGGAAAGCAGGAGTGGTAAAGAAAGGCAGAGGGGGCAGAGGGAGGAGGAGGAGGAGAGCGCACTATGTATTTATTCAGTCATACTGTGCATCTGTATTCTTCTAATGTTCCTCCTTTGGAATCACTTTTATTCAAATCCTAGACTCAGGAGACCATCTCATGGAAGCATAGCGGGGAGGGATGGATGGATTGATGATGTGTGGATGAAGAGCGGTATAAAAAAAAAAAAAAAGCTAGAGCAGATACTCTCATTTAAACTTTATTATTCGCTCAAGATGATGATTTGATAGCAAAGCAATAGTGTGTGTGTGTGTGTGTGTGCGTGAGTGTGAGAGAGAGATTAGGACATCTGATTTGTGTATGGATCTGCTTTGTATGAAATAAAAGAGTGGCTTTGTTTATGCATAGAGCTTTGTTTGATTAGGTTTTGTTTCGCACAATATTATTTTGGATATTTACTGATTCCCAGGCAGTGACATTTACATGGTGCAGAGGTTTTATTGTACAATATATAGTCTGCTGCATGGTGTGAGATTTACCTTACTGCTGGCTTTTTACACTGTGAGATCTATTATCCAGTTAGAGATCAGAAGGCTTTGTTGAATGCAACATTTTTCTTTTAGTCTCTCTCGAAACCAAAGTTTAATCGACGCGTAAAGTACAGATAAATCTGTTTTTATATTGAAAACGCTTAACTCTGACTTACAAAGAAAAGTGAAAGAGAATGTATTCATAAGCTGACAGGGCTTTTGCTTTCCAGTACATCACTTAATTAACTGTCCTCTGAAAAATGGAGATAATTAACTGAGAAATGACTATTTACTTATATCTATTCCTGACATACGACTGTTGAATACAGTTAAAAGTAGTCGTCATAAACATACTTTTAAAAAATGATATTTTGTATGTCACCCATGATCATTTTTGTGTCTATGGTTGCAGTATAAATGCACTGAAATTGGACTGTATGCCAAATATTACAGATTTGAATTGACTCCAAAGGGGGCTACACTCCAAAATGTAGTCACCTATTTAAATACAACATAGTATAACACCAATAAAAATGTGGCTTTAATTAATATATGAACATTAATCTGGTTGCTAAAATATTGCCATAGCAACAAAAAACGTTGTCAAAGTGTTTTTAAAAAAGATTCTTGTAAACAGCACTGTCGCTGATGGTTCTGCCTCCATCACAATGTGCTGACAGTCTGTCTTTTCATTGCCTTTCTCCCTCATCTTTCCTTTCCTCATTGTGTCCCTCTCTCTGTCTCCAGCTGCCTCAACAGTTCCAATCCAATGTCTGGACGACGTGGAAAAGAACAACAACCACCCAGTCCCTCGGGCGTCAGTGCCTCGTCCTCCCAGTGCCCCCCCACTCCCGTCCTGCTCTGGCCGCCCCTGCCCCCCTGTCGGCGGCCCATCAGGCACCCTGCTGCCAGACAGTCTGAGGGAGGACTGCTGGTACAACGGGCCCTGGCCCTCTCAGAGCTGCTCGGGAGAGGCTCTGCTCGGCGGCGACACCGTGCTGCCGCCGCCTCCCCTGAACCAGGCCTCTCTGGATGACAGCTCACGGTCCTTCCCCAGTCCCCCCAAACCCAGTGACGCCATGTTCTGGGAGGGACACTCTGCTGCATCCAACTCCTCATCGTCAATGGGAAACTGCAGTCCCAGGAGCCCTCCCAATAAGGAGTGGGCCAAGCCCTTTTAAGATGAACTTTGATGGGAGGATAGATGATTAAAAAGTGGGTGGAAAATAATCGAATGAAGGAATGATAAACTCTCCAAACCCTGCCACATAGCTACCACCTAACCTGCCTTAAGATGATGAGACCACTCCTCTGGGGTGCAGTAGACTGGACCTGCTGGTTGTGGGAACTAATTGAGGCCAGAAGAGGCCTTTTTTCAAGGTAAAGATTGACAACTCATTAATTTGCCATCCCTGCACACCGCATCGGTGAACATATCTGACTTTGCAGCGGAGAACGTTGATCAGAGACCTTCGACAGAATAAATAGTTTGTCCATGTGTATGTGTCCTTGTATGCACATGCATAAGTGTGTGCAAGCATGCATACAAGCAGTTTAAATTGTGTGTGTGTGTATATATACGCACATCAAACAGTGTGCCTGTGTGTGCAGATCAGTGTGTGGGCATCTTTCGCCTGCCTGTATCTGTATCTCATCATAATAAACCTAATAGGGCTCAAAGGGCCTCTTTCTCCATATACTGTGGCTAGTGATTACTGGAGCCACAGCATAGTACTAGAATTTGTATACCTGTACTCCCTCCAATGCAAGACTTTTTACATTTGATCACTGTAAATTATACAAGGTATGTACTCCCATGTTTGTCTCATGATCATGTGAAGGAGACGTCTAGGTATGAGGATTCGATGTTTGTTTTTGTACTGTGATGGAGACAGACATACAGTAACTGTAGGATAATTGCAGAATTCTGTTCCAAACTTTAAAAGCTACCAAAATAAACCTTTGACATTTTTTCCCCAAGATTGTTTTCATTGAAATCCTTACGAGTAATATCAAAGTAGGCTGTCAATCTATCCATGCTTACTCAATCATTTTTGAGAATGCAGTATTTAGATCTATTTTTGGGGGGGAGGGGATTGTATAATGAGCAAGAAATCATAATTTGAATCTAAAAATGTCCTGTGTTCTGATATAATAATTCATCACAATCACCTGCACCAGGAAGGATTCAACTGTTTATGATTTCACATAGCTTTGACAACCCGAGCAAGCCTCCTTAAACCTGCCTGCTTTTACATGTTAGTTTTCTCAGACCTGCTGTAAAACATTAAATGTTGCATTTTGTTTTCTCGGCTTCAACGGGACATGTTGATGTAAAGATGTGCATTGTTGGATACTTAGGCCTTTTAATTTGGAGGACTTGCGGAACAGGACCCATACACTTATCTTTTTTGAAAATTTGATTAGGTTGGGATGAGGTTTGTGGATATTTTGAACAATAAGAAATGTACCTAAACTCTGCACTGTGCTGTTTATCTTGCTGTTAAGTGATGATGGAAGTTTCTCACTGATTTGTTTTTAAGAGTCAGATGAGCATAAACTGAAGGATGTACAAACGAACATATGTTAGATTCTAAGATAAGCAGAAAAAAGAATGTGCATATCTGTATAAATGTATATGGTGGGCTTCAGTACTCTTCCAAATGTGGTTTTGCACTCCTAAAACATAAGTTTTGTTTTCCTCCCCCATCCCTAAGACTTCTGATGTGTTTAAGAGCTGTCTGCAATGGTGCCAAGACAGTGCTGTATTAACTTGAAGAAATGTGAGCTGTGACTTGACAAATAGGTGCACAAAGCACAAAGGCCCATGTTTGTTGAAAAGACTTTTTGTTTTTCCATTTTTCTTCAATCTGTTTCATAACTGTGGTCTTTTTGTTGTTAATTTCTAAGAAATCTTATTTTACAGCAGTAGTTTCATACTTCTGTAAACAATTTGCAAACCAAAATGCAATGTACAGTAGATATGGATTATATTTTAGATTTACTGCACTTCAGACTGTTTGTAAATATGATCAAATAAATGAATGAAAGGACGCAACTGTGTGAAGTTGCTGTGTGTCTGTTCTCATTTTTAGTAACAATGTTCTGTGGACTTTGATGTATGAAGCTACAACAGTGTTAAAACCAGCAATAATAGTTTTATTGCTTCCTGTCTACAGACATTTGAGACTTTCAGACTACACTTTGCTACACTCTGCAACACAACAACTATCTTTACCAAACATCACAGGGCTGCAACAATCCGTTCATTGACTTCATTAAATAATAAATAAAAAATAGCAATCAGTTATGGGGATTTGCTGCTGTTCTCTAAATTGCACTATTATAAACTGAATGAGCAATTTTAAACAAAATGTTAGGCTCTAGAAACTTCCGATTGGCATTTGCAATCACTTAAAACCAGAATAAAACTACAAAATGCCCACACATAATTTCCATTTCCATATAATTTCCTATAATATTCATTAGATAAGATAAATGATAGATGATCTGCACTTGTATGGAGCCTTTAAACCTTAACTACGCTCTGCAAGCAATTTTACAATGTGTTGCTCTTTCTCACACAAACCCATCAGCGGTGGTGGAGCTGAGAACAAAGGTGCTCACCTGCTCAGGAGCAACTTTGGCTTCAGTGTCTTGCCCAAGAACGCTTAAAATCCAAGACATAACTACAGTTTTTCAATTTATGCCTGTGACACCTCATTACAATAACACTGTTCCTCATAATGTTTGGGATTACGGATAAAGAACAAGGCAGAAATGAGATGGCCAGAACAGCCAGAACACAACGCAAAGGCATAAAAAGGTAATATGATTAAGCATTCATGATCAGTGTAACAGCAGATGAATTGATCGTACATAGTCACTAAATTAAGAAGATACTTTGGTAGTTCATTGGGTATCATCTGAAGTCAAAATACAAAATATACCAAAACACAGAACATTTTCATCAAAGCCAATAAAAACACCACATTAAATCTTCAAATGTTCAGCAATGTTCATCTACTTTTAAATGCACAAAACTGTGAAAACTGAATTGAAGTCACTGCAGGCAGCTAAATATTAAATTAAAGGGACCCAAGTGAGTGCTATTGTTGACATTTTTGAACAGTTTAAAGAAGATCCAAACCACTATGAAATACACATCATCCAACTTTGAGTTCAGAAGCAGATGTTCATCTAGAACAAAACGCACTCATGAACATGTCATATAACTGACACATACTTTTCTGATATTGAAATTTTATTATTTACAACGCCACACGATCACATTCTTGGTTAAATGTCAGAGGTCTCTAACTGTACAAGTCTCCAAGTCTTCAAATTTACTGTAAATTAACACACAATTCCTTCTGCAGGTGATTTTTCAAGCTCCAGAGCCAAGCAAAGGCAACAAAGTAGACTCTTTATAACCACTTGTGCTGTCATGGCTTGTATAATAAACACATGACAAAGCAGTCAGCGGCCACCAAAGCCCAAGTACTGCACTTTTCTGAAGATCTTCCAGAAGATTGACTGGTGCAATCCTTCCTACTAGTCAAGTGAGGGAAGGTCACTTTATTCAAACATTTGTGGCATTTTGATGTTTTGCAGATGAACTGAACATTAAAAGTAGAGAGAATTTTGACGATGCACCATTCATGTTAATTAATTTCAGTCACTAATGAACTTGACCATACTGCCACCCTGTGTCTTGGTGTAGGGTGTGATGCAGGTTTTGGGCAAAGTCTGAGGCTGCACGCCTTAAAAGATGTGTGGTTATCATGTTGTTTATTACATGCTAGTTGGAAGCTTTTGTTTCCTGCTCTTGGTTGGGACTCCTGTCCTCTCAAATTCCAGTTTTTCTCGGATGTACTCCTGTTTGCATTCTTCGAAAAACACAGGGTCCTTGTAGCTGGTGGAAGACAGAACATAAAGAATCAGAATCTGACAGCGTTTTCCTGCTTCTGCCACTACTGACACGGGGAGGGTGGTAGAGAGCGGGTAAGCTCACGTAAAAGCTATTGGTGGGATAACACGGGGTGTAATAACACGTTGAAGGTGCTGCGAAACACTCACTGTAGCGTCAGACATTCCTTCAGGGCTGCATTCTCCTCTCGACACTTAAACACCATGAAGAAACCAGAGTCTTTACAGCAGTGGTTGAAGGCTGGAGGGAGGTGGAGAAGAAGGTAGCAGAAAGGGGAAGAAGTTAGCCGGGGAAAAAAAAAAGGATAACAGGCACAACAGGTATAAAAATGTATTAATACAATATGCTTCAAAATGAAAGCCTACATTTGACCTATAGAACAGGGACAGACAAGAAAATGAGAAACTACAAGTAAACCAAAATGGGCCTCATCCGCACATGAAGGAACTTGGTCACAGGCCACAGAACAAAGTCTCTTATCAAACTGAAACCCGTGTTTCCTTGCTCATACCAGGCCTGAACACAACTGCACTGGCCACAGTGGTTGCATCTGTGGTTGCCCTGCTTCTACATTGGCCCTGTAACAGTCATCCCACCACCCGCAAATACATACACGTCTGTGCCCTCGAGAATTAAATATAGGATATGCTTCACTGATCACAGAGCCAAACGAGGCCTGGGGATGGGCACAGCTATTCACAATAACCAAGCCAGAAAAGGGAGCTTTTCCAGAAATCACAGGCTCAACATTAAGGCTACCGGTGTCCTCAACAGATAAGATAAAGCTCAGAGCCAAATGATTGCAACACTTTCTGACTTTTTAGAACAATTAGAGAGTGGTGAAAAATATCTATAAAATTGGATCCAAACATACACAAAAAAAACACGCACATAAAATGCAGTAATTGTCTCTTAAGATACAAATGAAAAACCCCTCCAGCACGTCTGCGCCAGCGCCCTGGCAGACTGTGTTCTGTGTTAAACCTGCAAGGTCCTTATTGTAAACAAGGTGTTGAAGAACGAGTCTTCACCTTGTTAGCAAGCTCCTTCTCAAGGCTTTAATTAAAACCACTGCCCTCCCATGTCCCCTTTCAAACAACTGACATCATAATTACGGTTATCAGTGGCATCAGTATGGTTATCACACAGACACTTTCATCAGGATGCAGATGTGAAAAAAAAAACCCTAACTCCAAAACCAATTTAGAGAAGCAGAACAGTGCGACTAATCTAATCAACAAACGCCTCATCCTTGTCCCATGGTACTAATAGAGGCTGCAGAAGGTTGCCTTTCTGATCACACATCAGTAGCTGAACCCAAGGCAAATCTACGACACTATTTTTATGTCAGAAGAGGCCTTTCTAAAGACAAGTGCGATGCCACCTTCACCTTGGGCTGTTTGGTTTGCTATTTTTAAAGATGCAAGTCTGATTTGGCTGTTAGTGGAAAGCAGAAGCAAGACATTTGAAACATTTAGGAAGATTTTGTGCTTTAGAGGAAAATACAAGGTGGGAAGTCTAATATATAATTAGTTATAGCTGGATATAAACATCAAGATTTTGAGCAGGATTTATGCATTTCTACATAGTAATAATGAATCACTAACTTAAAATACGTTATTAGTCACTGGTTTGTTAGTTTGTTAGTCATTGGAAATTTTTTTTGCGTCTGTATTTTGGATTTTTGTGATTTAGACACAGTTCGAATGAATTCAATTTACAACAACCAATTGCATTTCAGCAAACGAAAGTCTTGCAATAACATAACAGTAGGCAGTATGAAAACGTCAATATGAAAGTAGTTGTTAAATGAGTACGTGGGCTGTAAATAGTTTGATTCTAAGAGGCATCTGAGTACAGACATGAATCATCAGTGCAGTGGGAAAAATCATGTCAGGTAAAACCTCAAAGAAGTTGAGTGCAGGTCAGTAGTACTTGTTTGCTTGAACAACAAAGCTCACAATATACAAGTGTGGGATGTGTAGAGGCAGATCTGCAGAGACAGATAACACAGGAAAACCTGCCTGTATATTGTTTTGTTTCTTTTTTCTTTTCACTTTTCTTTGTAAAACACAATCAGACACATACATGCAGCAGCCCAGTGCAGATGATCGAGGGCGGGAGGGTGAAGGTGTGAAAATGAGTGGAACGAGAAGCTCGCAACGTGAGGGGGGTTTCCACTACCCACACAGCCACTGTCTGTCCCATCACCTCGGGCTGCATGTGCATCGTCTCTCCTTGTGAGCAGTAAACCCTGGCTCATGCAGGCTGTCATCAGATTTCTAGAAACCACATCATCTAGTCACTATCTGGCTGATGTGGCTGATGGTGTTGCTGCAGTATAGATAGGGCACACTTGAGCAAAGGTGCAAGCACCATTTCCATGCAGATGAAGCGGCAGCTGCTGTCATGCTCGTCGGCCTGCGTTTCAAAACAACGACCCTTTCAGACATGCACTGCTCTCCATTAAGCTGACGGTATCTGAACCCGTCGGCTTCGTGTCTGAAGGAGAACCCTGGTCACTCTTCCGTAAAAGTAGTGACAGCAATCTCGCTGGGTCGGACCTAGTAACATTTCAGAATCAATTTCAACATGCCACAGGTGTGAACTGTACGCAAGTGTATTAACAAACAGGCACGCACAATCGGTGATATCGCAAACTGTGCTCGGCAATACAGGGAAGGTTTTTATTTTTCACATTTCAGCACCAATACAGGTCGAAAAACATCACGGAGAGCACCAAAGGACACAGTGTTCTTTTGGATTCACGATGCTCTACAATTTCACATCTATCACAAACTAAACTGTCCATAAAAATAAAACCTTAGTTTAACACAAAAGGCTAACAGGATGCTGAAGTTTAGTCTGTTGCTTCCAGCTGTTTGTAGGAATCTTTTGTTTGACTATTACATAACTGCTGCACGAGACAGCAACAGGAGCTATGCACACTTACACATGTGGAACAACAGGACCACGTCATTAATTAACTAGAATTATAAATGATCCCAAGTTGGGCTGCATCACAGCTGACAACGTACGTTTCCTCTACAGTTCATTAAGTTAGTCGTCCCATTATAATGACAGAGAGACAGAATTTTCAGTATTTAGGAAATCATGGATAAACTAGGCTATTAGTTATTTGGACAGCTTGATGAGCATGCTATTAGTTTAGATTTCATCTTTTGTTTATTATAATTTTAATTCTCATTATGCACCACTGGATGTGCTCCCCTGTCTTGTACGTCAGATATCACATGTATACAGGAGCTCTCTCTGTCTCTTTCTATAATAAAGACTTGAGGATCATTGTATGTTCTAATGACAGAATGCTGCCACTTTAACAAAGTGATGAAGTAAGCATTGTGAGATATCCCATGCTAAAAAAGGTCAACAAGGATTTAAGAAGTAGCAACAGGAAACAGTCAAATGATCAAGGCGCAAGAAGACACCGAAATGGAACTCCTTGGAAGAAAAAGATCAAGAATTTGATCTTTAGAGAAACAGATGAAGTATTGAGATATGACAACATTATCATTTAAAAAACAAACAATGTGAAATGTCTTAATAGCTTCTAGTTCTCAAATTTAAAGTGACATTTTTATAGCTGCATACAGCAGGGTTTGGAAGTAATATAGAATAACATGCATCACACTTAGGGGTACTTTCTGATTAACTGTCTTCATAATAAGTATAGTTGTACAGTGGCACATACTCAAGACAAAAAGGGCAGTTATTAGGCTATTTGAAGCTCATCTTAAGTTGAATATTCTAACATTTTTCAATGCAGTGTTTGTGTTTTGAGGGATGACTTTGTGACCTTGTAAAGCCACATAATTTTACTGGAGGTAACAAACAGATCAGAGAACTACAAATTCATAAAAAGTAATATTGTGGTTGGTCAGTTTATTATTTTACATTCTACTACATTTCTTAGGTGACTAATGGTTATAAAATTAGACTATCAAACTTAGGAAACTTAATGGAACTGAACCTTATTTAGCTTCAGTTAGTTCTATCCATAATTTTCTTGCTGCACCAAGTCAAAAATATCTGTTCTAAGCAGATTTAAGCTGAATATCATTCTATTTTCTAACACAAAGTCCACATTTTGAGGGTTGACTTTGTTTTTCAGCCTTCTAAATAGTGCTTTTGTACAACAAATAGCTAAAAAGTACAAGTGTGGCTGGTTAGTTGTTTTTCAGTTTGTTTGTTTTCTTAAACCTTGATATTCGACAAAATGCAAGGATTGAATTTTGTGAATGTATCTTTTAGAATATATAGATATATAAAGATTCACAAAGGCAGATCTAATGAGTTGGGGTTTCAAAAATAACTATAGAACTATAACTAAATAAATAGTTTCTCATTATCCAAGCATGCTTGTTTTAAGGCAAAACTGAGCTGAAAAAAGATAACAGATAATGAGGATGTAGAATGGTGCTTTGTGACGTGTACTACTGTACTAAACTTGTTAGCATGTCAGTTTTTATTCTCAGCATTATTTGAAATAAAAGTAGGTTTGTTAATGCTTTTCCCACTACAAAGTACACTTCTTAGTTGACTAATGGTCAGAATATAACAGATCTACAAATGAACACAGGCCGACTGTAGAGGCAGTGGAAGGATCTGCGGGCACTGGTCCATCCCAGTGTTAGTAACGGTCTCAGACCTGGTCGCTCACATCAAATCATCTGGCTCCACTACTGGCTGGTTCACTACCATTGTTTACTGGAACACTTACTGGAACGGAACCTTCATTAATTCTACTTGTGATTTTCCTACTGTAAAAAAAAGATCTACTGTGTACATTATTGAGTTTTACTTTCAGGTCTAAAGAGGAGATTTTGACCCTCTCTAACACACACACACACACACACACACCTTCAACCTTGTCAGCACAGCGCTCCTTGGCTTTCTCCCTCATCATCTTGGGGATCAGAACATCTTTTTCCACATGTCTCAGTTGGATCTCCTCTGGAAAGACATGAACACAGGGAAACCGTCACAACTATCATCGTCACCAGGCTCAGGTTGTGGCTTCTGCTTCCCACTTGTACAAACTGAGGCTACATCATCGTTGTTATTGATTTCATCTATGCAGAAACACGAACAATGTGTATGAGAGTAAACTTGGACAATTAACGAAGGTATAGGATACAGAGCCTTGTTCAAACAGGAGTCATTATTCATCAATAACCTTTTTAAAAAAACGGATACAGACAGCTCAGTTCACTTAGCTAACGTTACTATAGCTACACGAGTCCACACTGCATATGAGGAGCGACACAGCCTCGATATTTATATTCAATTCTAATTTTTAACATTAAAAGTCCGCTAAGAAAAGCATTAAAGAGAGCAGAAATGTTTAATACCTGCGTTTGTTGCCTCCATTGTGGCCATGATTCTCAAAACATTACAAAACTGAACCAATGTGACCTCGCTTACGGGCGCTCAAAACACTTCCGCTGACGTAATCAGGCAGTCTAAGAAACTACAATACCCAGAGTCACACAAGGACTCAACCTTGGCTGTATCCGAGTTAGCCTGCCAAAATTACGCTTAAAATAATAATAATTATAATAATAATAGTAATAGTAATAATAATAATAATAATAAGAAGAAGAAGAAGAAGAAGAAGAAGAAGAAGAAGAAGAAGAAGAACGAGAACGACTTTTTCTTGTAGTTTTTCTGATTATTATTGGTATTACTAGTATTAGTATTATTATTAGTCATCCCACCACCCGCAAACATGTCACTGTGGCCTCTGCCCCTTCCCCAGGACTACAGATTTTAGCTTGACAGCTAGGGTCTGGTACAAGCATCCTTGCTCTTGAGCATAATTTAATTGTACATTGTCCTGTCAAGAAACAATAAAATAAAATAAAAATAATTCGTATTAGCATTATAATCACTATTTTCATTTTTTTTTTCTTTTATTTATTTTTTATGTAAGAGAGGTTTTTTGTTTGGTTTTCTTTTTGATAAAT